TCAGTATTATTGTAACGAATCATTGTCATCAATGTGTTAAATCCAATATTTCACGCTCATCTAATATCCTCCTGAACTCTCTAAACAAACTTCTCTTTGGAAATCATTCGCACGGACTCCAGATATCTCATGGCGTACCCAAAGAACTCAGCGTAAGTTCCTTTGTCTTTTCTTCGAGAATTAAATCATCAATCTAATCTGGAACTCAAGCTGGAAGCCATCTAACATCATAAAATAATATCGTTTTCTCCAGCTGGCACCCTTAACAAGATTCTGGGCAAAGCAAGAATCAGAATCCCCGTATTCCACGAACGAGTTTGCAAGAAGTTACTGCAACAACAACTAAAAGAACTCGAGGAGCAGTTAAAACAAGGAACCAGAGACGAAAACGACGGATCTGGAAATCAGCAGCAAGATCAAAATGCGCAAAGACAGCAGTTGCCTAGACCCCCGCGCCCCCAAGACCCAAATAATCCAATATATCGGTCATATAAAATCTTAAATGACCGAATTGAAAAATTTTCTGGAATGGGAGATAGAACTTTTGAAGAATTTTTGGAGGATTATGTGGACGCGATAGATAGGTTTAACATCTCCTATAACAATGCTAAAAATCTGCTACCCATGTTTTTATGGCCCGGCCAAAGTCAAGTATAGTGCGATCAAAGATGCTAACACCCTAGAATGGGATGACTTTGACTCAGCTAGCCAAAAAATGCAAGAACGAGGCAATCCTGAGCAATGTGCGAGATGAATTGCACAGCCTCACTCAGGGCAAAGACTCCGTTGGAGAGTTTGCACGTAAAGTCTTGGCGAAGGCCAAAGTTGCTTGCCAGGGCCAGGATAAAAAGCTTATATCGCAAGTAGCTATCGATGTTTTCATCAAAGGTTTGCATAGCGATATAAGGAAGGCCGTTCTTAGACTTCCGCATAAGAAAGATTTTGAAGAGGTGGTCACTAGCGCGGAAAAAGAGGCTAGGATTTTAGACCAAGAATGTGTAAGATCAGGATGAAGAATACGAATGGAATGGAAGATCAGGATGAAGAATACGGATGGAAG